CCCACGATAGAAAGATGCACAGCAGGTGTGTGGATTTCCACATGAGGTCAGAGAAGGAGGACTTCCTGGAGGGGTTGTCACAGGGCCTTCAACTCTGGAAATGAGTTGGCAGCAAGTGGCCTGCCTGGGACAGCTGCAGAAGGCACAGGGACCCTAGGATTCTGACCTGGTGCACACTGCTCTCGGGAAGCCTGCCTTGATTTCTCACCTGGACAAAGCCCCTTCCTGAGCATTTTTCCCAGTGCTCTGCATACATGCCTGTTCTCAGATGGGCTTCACTCCCTTTGTGTCAGAACTGTGGCCTTCAGCTTGGGCTCACAGTGGCTTTAAAGCTCAAAGACCTTAAGTTCCTTGAAGATCTGAGATTCTCCTCAGCATCCACCCTAGCTCGGGCCAGAAGGTAGCTTGGCCACTGGGGAAGATGTCCTGAATCCGGGAGGGGCGAGATCAGGGACCTCCACAATCACTCAGGAAGCTGGATCAAGGCCTGACAGTCCTTCATGTTGGCACTAGTTCGGGGAGGGGCCAGAGAAGGAAATTGGCTCCTGAGATCCTGGCCGTTCTCAGAGGACCTTGAGCTGTTGGCTTCACTTCCATGTGCAGCCCCCATGTGAGTTCTCCGCCCTCTCTCAGCCCCCTCTGTGTTCAAACTCCCGTTGTCCCCATTGGTTGGGCTATAGATGCATCTGTAGTCCAGCCAGTGGGGCTGCTGGCACCCAAGGGGGCATTCACAGAAAAGGCAGTGGGATTCCTGGTCATTAGCCCGACATCAACCCTGCACCAACGGCAGTGTCATGCTCCCTGGCTTGCCACAGCAAGGCACACCAAAGGCTCTCGATTATTTTTACTAAACCATCTACCCAGCTACAAAAGGCCTGACTCTGGGCTGTGATGTTGGGTGGTCACAGCCTGCGAGGCCTGACCCTATCCAGGAAGACTAGCCTCCCCTCGCAATGGCATGCTCATAGAATCTTTCAATTGTTGGACCCTTAGGATGAGGGCTGGAGTCAGGTCACCTGGTCCCTCACAGGACCTCCTTCTCTAGTGTGGTGGGCAGGCCCCAGCCTCCACTTCCACTCCTCCAGAGATGTGGTGGGGACCTCACTGTCACACAGAGCAGCCATCGTGTCGCAACACTGTGAGTTGGACAAAGTTCTTCGGCACTGACACAGAAATCTCCCATCCTCAGGTTCTTCTTTTACTCATTGAACAAGTATTTTGCCCTCAGGACCTTCCTTCATTCCTTGAGCAAGTATTTACTGAGGGCCTGTTCTTTGCAGACACTGGGACAAAGCCACCTTCCGGACCTCTGAGACCAGATGGCGAGAAAGACAGCTAATAGACAATAAGTTTCAACAGACAGGGAAGAAGAAGCCTCTGACCTCTCAGGACATAATGGCCTGGGGTGTCTGGGAGGCACGTGGCCCTGATGGTCTCTTGATCTTACACGTGGTAGCTAGAAGGTGGAGACCAGCATGAGCAGAAGTGGCTTTGTCACCTTGTAGATCTCCAAGGACAGTGACCCTGCCCTTCCCCTTCCTGGAGCTTTCGCCTCTTCTCTCAAGTGCCTCTTCCTAGAGGGGTTGTCTTGGCCCCGCAGCAGCCTGGCTCTCCTGACATCTGCATGGAGGGTCCAGAACTGAAAATCGGTGTGTCCTGCATAGTGTAGAGTACAGGGACTGTGCCTTCCAGAGTTGGCTTCAGAATTCGGGTCGGTGCAGGGAGGGTCACCTTTCTGTAGGCACATCCTGTCATCTTCATTCCCTGTCACATACCAAGCACTAGAAGAGATACAAAGGGGACTTTAGAATCGGGTCTCCCTCACAATGGCATGAGCAAGGGGCTCTGAAAGTACCTCCCGGGATTCACGGGGCGTGGTGCTTTGAGAAAGACAACTTTGAACAAGATGGGTAGAATGTAATGTGTCTGGATGTCTGGTCAAGAAAGGGCTTCTGGCATCATCTGCTTTAGCCTCTCTCCAGGTGGGGAGGGCATTTCGTGGGTAGGAATCATAGGAATCAGCGGAGACAAAGAGGAGGTGAGGCAGTCCTGACATTCCAGTGAGTGGCTTGGTTGAGTGACTTGGTTCTGAAACACTGATGAACTTTCCTCCCTCCTTCTCTGCCACCACAGCCCAACTATGGAAACCAGCAATACGGACCAAACAGCCAGTTCCCCACCCAGCCAGGCCAGTACCCCACCCCCAACCCCCCACGGCCTCTCACCTCGCCCAACTACCCCGGGCAAAGGATGCCCAGCCAGCCAAGCACCGGGCAGTACCCGCCCCCCACGGTCAACATGGGGCAGTATTACAAGGTGAGCCCCATACCCCACATCCCCACCCCCACCTGTGTCATCTAGGCCTTGGGTGTCCTCTGAAGTCTCCAGGAGGCAGGCAGAGATTTCTGCATGTGTCCTGTGCTCAGAGCTCTGCAAACAGTGACCAAAATGTCAGACTGGCTTTTCTTGGTTCCGATTCTCATGGGCTCAGATGAAGGTTTTCCTTCTCCTTATACTGTTACAGTACATACAAGATAATAACAATAAAGGAAATACTTTTTTTTTTTTTTTAAATAAAAAGCACCCTGAATTTGTGAACATTTTATTCTAAACCTTGTTTCCTCTACATGCATGTGGGCACCAACATGTGATATAGTTATTATGGCTATAATTTTGACATGAAATCATAGCATGTTATGTATTGCGACAGTGTCTCCGTGGTTTTCACTTTTAATAGCTGCCTAACATTCCACTGAGATAATGGTGCCATCTTTTATCTTTCCCTTTCTATTGGACATTGGTTGTTTTTTTTTTCTGATTTTTCACTTTTGAAATAATACTGTGATAAATATCTTCAGGTATATAGCTTTTTCCTTCTTTGGGATTATGATAAAGTACATTCTCCTAAGTGAATAAGATTCTGGAAATATTTTACATTTGTTTGCCAAGGAATCATGCCAACTTACAGGACCATCGCCCACGTGGAGTTACTAGTTTTGCTCCAAGTTCACACTAAGTGTTTCTATTTTTGTAAACTCTTTTGCTAAATTAATAGTCATAGACAAAGCATGTTGAAATGCTGTCCCCAGAGGGTAACCTGCTCTACCCTTGCCCTGATCCCCACCCCAGCGCTGGGTGAGGGTCGGGGGTGCCCCTCAGCATCCCCAGTACTCCCAGCAGATTTCCATCGCAGGAGGCAGAGTGGGCTTCTGGTCGCTTTTCTCCCTTTTACTCACAGCATTGTTTATCTTGCTTTAACAGCCAGAGCAGTTTAATGGACAAAATAACACCTTCTCGGGAAGCAGCTATAGTAACTACAGCCAAGGGAATGTCAGTAGGGTAAGTTCCAGTGTTCGTTTTAGGACTATAACCCACGTGCCATTCCTGCCCCAGCCTCTGGATGTTAGCAGGGCCCATGGTTGGGGGTGCACTCTCAGGTCACCTCCTCCGGGGCACAGAGATACCTAGACAGAATCGGCAGCGCTGAGTGGGTGGGCCAAGGACAGGTGTGGGCCTGGCTAGTTCTGGAAGAAAGCAAGGGCGGGGGCAGAGAAAGGAAGAAGGGCTCCTAGGGAACCAACTATCCCATGATGCTACAGACTCAACTCCATCTGGGGACCCCAGTGAGCTAGGGTAGGGAAGGAAAGTGTGGCCTAGAGTCATGATGTGAGCAGCAGGAACCCTGAGCTCAATGCAGCTCTCCTCTCATTCCACGGTTATATTAAACAAGTCCTCCAGCATGCTGAGCCTGGGTCCCCATTTGTCAAATGGGCTGGGGTACCTTGCATCCCCCAGGTAGAGGGTAGGGAGACCCTTCCCAGGCCTGCCTGTCTTTCAGTGAGAGCGGAGGCCTGAGTGTGACCAGGAGGAGGGTGTTTCCTAGGGGGCTCTCCTCCCTCAGCAGAGCAGGGCCATAGCCCTAGGACTCTGGGGTAGTTGGGGTGTATGTCACAGCCATGGCCCCTCCTATTGCTGTGACCCCATAACCTATGTGTGGTTTCTCTTTCCTTCCAGCCTCCCAGGCCAGCTCCCAGTTCCTGTGGCAAATTACCCCCACTCACCTGTTCCAGGGAACCCCACACCCCCCATGACTCCTGGGAGCAGCATCCCCCCTTACCTGTCCCCCAGCCAAGATGTTAAACCACCCTTCCCACCTGACATCAAGCCAAATATGAGCGCTCTGCCGCCACCCCCAGGTGAGTGCCCCATTCTCCTTCCCTGTGTCTGGCCAAGAGTCAGGGCCTTGGAAGTTGGACTGCCTGTGGGGGCTGGGCATGTGGAAAGGGGAGGGTTTGAGAGCAGGTAAGTCCCACCCAGGAGGGAAATCTGAGCTGGGGCTGGCCTGCCAATAGCCCTCTTCATTTCCTGCCTGAGTGCTGGGAGGAAAAGCAGCTGGGAAAGGGGCTGGGAAAGGGAGCCTGGGGCTTCCAGAGCAGGGAGCCTGTGGGTGAGAGGGGATGCAGAGCTCAGATAAGTGGGATGTGGGACACGGGGGTGGTTAGAATGGGGTCAAGTGGACTAGAAGAAGTGATGAGCTCCCTGGTGTGCACTTGGGCACACACACAGCCCAGCTTCCGTGGCCCTATTTGCTCCCATACCTGTGTGTTCCTCTGAGTGGGCAGCCAAGGGTATGTGTCATGTGAGTGAGTGAGCCCCACTCATGGTCCCAGCGCCCATGCTTCTGTGTGCCCGTGGTGGCCAGAGCCATGTGGCTCACTGACTCCTCCCCTGTCCAGCCACCCACAACGATGAGCTGCGGCTCACGTTCCCTGTGCGGGATGGCGTGGTGCTGGAGCCCTTCCGCCTCGAGCACAACCTGGCTGTCAGCAACCATGTCTTTCACCTGCGGCCCACAGTCCACCAGACGCTGATGTGGAGGTGAGTGTCAGGGTGGGAGCACAGGCCCCAGCTGGGTGGAGGAGGCCCCAGTGGTAACATCCCTAAGCCCTGGCATTGCCCTGGACCGCTGGTAGCAGCATCTGCCTGTCACCTTCAACTGTTCAGCATCATTGACTGGACCCTCTATGTGCAAGGCCCTGAGGATGTCATGGGGAACCTGCAAGTTTAGGGGAGACAGACAAGCACCCTTGGCATAGTGGCCCAAGGGCAAGGGAGCAGCTGTCATGCACCCCAGTTCTGAGAGAGTGGTCAGGGACAGTATCCCAGAGGAAAATGTGGCTAGCTCAGACCTGAAGGCTGAGCACAGGGATGTTCGATCAGAGGCCCTGAGCTGACAAGAGGAACTTGAGAGTGGCACATTGTGGCCAGAGCCAGGAATGTAGAAAGGTGAGGCTAGAGTGGAAGCAGGGTTAGGTCGGGGAGGACCCACAAGCCCTGCAGATTGCAAGGGGCTGGGCACCAGGCGGGGCTGCTGCTCAAACACCAAAACATGCTGAACTGCGTTGGCTGAGAGTCCCCTCCTGGACCAGGCCCTGCGCTCCGCGCCTTCTACACCTGATCTCCTTCAATCTTTTACATGGGCAATGCTTGTCCCATTAACAATGAGGATACTGAGGCCAGAGAAGCTGGAAGTGGGATGTTGGGATGGATTTCAACTAGCTCGTTGCCTCAACCACTCCGAGCAGGCTGCAGAGAGTGTCAGAGACAGCTGGGGTAGGTGTAAGGGTACAGGGCCTCAGGCAGGAAGGTGGAGAGCCCCCTGTCCAAGCGTCCTGCTCACCCGTCCTTCCTTACGCATGAGTGCCCTCACCTGAGAGGCTTCCTGTGGGCCTGGCCACTGGCCCTGCTTAGTTTTCATTCATAGGTGGTCACTGCTGGATTCAGTGCCGTGTCTTCAGGGCCCACCTCTGGGGGATTGAACTAGACATGATCCTGGCCTGGGGTGCATCTACCAACAGGAGCCTTGGGGATGGGCATAATCAGCCTTTTGGCTGGTCTTTTTTGTCCCTCTGTCCCTATCCTGGGGGAACAGGCATCATCATAGGGTGGAGGGCCTGGGGAGATTTTGGTCACAGCTGTGGGGTGGTTAGGATGAATGGTATGTGGGAGTTGTGGGGTAAGTGAGTTGTTGGGATGGATTTCAATCAGAGATGGGAGCGGAAGGAATATCCAGGGTAAGAGGGGAGAGCTTGCCGAGGCTGGGAGAGTAGTTGCAGCCAAGGATGGGGTCCTGAGGAACTCATGCGGCTGTGGTAGGTTAGTGGTGTGTGGCCCAGCCAGGCTTCATCAAGGCTATAGGCAGCCCACTGGCAGAGCCACCCTGAGCCCCACCCTGTTCCCAGGTCTGACCTGGAGCTGCAGTTCAAGTGCTACCACCATGAGGACCGGCAGATGAACACCAACTGGCCGGCCTCGGTGCAGGTCAGCGTGAACGCCACACCCCTCACCATCGAGCGTGGCGACAACAAGACCTCCCACAAGCCCCTGCACCTCAAGCACGTGTGCCAGCCGGGCCGCAACACCATCCAGATCACTGTCACAGCCTGCTGCTGCGTGAGTGTGTGGGTGGGGCTGAGAGCTCGGCGTAGGGAGCCTGAGGTCCTCTGCTCCCTGATTCTCAGCTTTGTCCTTGGGTCTTCGTCCCCCATCTCGCAGCCACTGAAATGATTTCTCAGAAACACTCCAGAAGCGTGCGGTGGTCCCCTAGGGCTATGGAATAAAATTCAAACTTGGGTGGGCCTCCAAAGCCACCGTGCTCTGGCCCTTTCCCTTATCCTGCGGCCTCCTCCTATTCTGCACTTTCGCCTCCACTTTTCCCTGTAGGCCGCTCCTTCTGGACTCCTTCCCCGCGTCCACCACCTTTTTCCATCTTCCTCTGGTGAAATTCTGTGTCCCTCAAAGCCTCGTTTGCAAGAATTTTTTAGATTCTTATCACCTTTTCCCCCAGACCCAACTCCACCAAGTCTGGAGTTACTAACTCTCTCCCTTCACCCAACCCACTCTCTTAGAATCACGTATGTGTGCGTGTCCCTCCAACCTGTGACTCATTACTCTAGGACCATATGAGCCACGCCTCTTTTCCCCAGAGATAAGGCCTGGCTCACAGAGCTTGCTTGGGGACCTGCATGAAAGCAGGTTGCCTGCCCTGCTCTGGGGGACACAAGAGAGAGGAGCTCCGATCCTGCTCTATGAGCATCAGGGCTCTGAGGCCTCTTAGAGATAGGAGTCACAGGACTAGGGATGCTGTCAGAAAGAGGGGCCTGAGAGGGCTTGTTGAGGTGTGCAGTCCTAGAAGGCTTCCTGAGGAGCAAAGACAGGGACACCGCCCTCTGGGAGAAAAGGTGGAGGGCAAATGGTGGGGCACAATGATTGGCAAGGTTAGGAAATGAAGCAGGCTCCAGTTCTAATGCCCAGTGTCTCATAACCAATCCCAGGGTGTTTCAGTGTCATAGCCTTGTTAGCCTATAATAGCGGCAGCTATTCCTAGGTGGTGAACCCAGCCTGGGTCACCTGGCTCACATCTTCGTCCTTGAATCTCTCTCTTTCATGTCCCGGGGGTCCCACTCCTAGCATGCATCAGTGTGGACATGGCCTCTAGGGGCTTTAGGGCATGGGGCAGCCTAGGCCTGCAGAGTCTGCAGGTGGGGAGGGCTGTGGGGACCCTGGGGCAGGGCTGAGCATCCACTCTTCCTCGCAGTCCCACCTCTTCGTGCTGCAGCTGGTCCACCGGCCATCCGTGCGCTCTGTGCTGCAAGGCCTCCTCAAGAAGCGCCTCCTGCCTGCTGAGCACTGCATCACCAAAAGTGAGTGTGAGGAGCAGGCCCCAGCCCACCGTGAGCACCTTCCACTGGGACTGACCTTTGGCTCTGTGCACAACACCCCAGGGCCCTGAGTTCCTTAGCACCGACTCCCACCCCACTCCTTCTCTGGGACCAGAGGAGTGATCAGACAAGTACTGTACTTTAAGACCTGGTGGGAATCCTGAGCCACTTGGCTCATAGCACAGTCTATGTGAGCCGGATTAAAACAAAACACCATGGTATAGACAGTCCCAGCAGGCTTCCTGAAGGTGATCACCTAGAAAGATGGGAGGAACTGGGGAAGGGGATCTTACCTGGGAGGGAGGCATGGGGTAGATTCCAGGCTGGCCTCCCAGCCCCAACAGCTCACGCCTAACTCTAGAGGAAAGGACTTGGCTTAGATCCATTCCTTTGGAGGAGACCCCCAGGTGACCACTCTGAGGCACCACGCAGGGAGGTGCACTGCTGTTCCTCTCTTCCGTTGTGCTTCTTCACTTACCCCTGTGCCCTAGAATCCCACCAGGCAGTTGTCCATTCCCATTTCCACACCTGCATAATAAGTGCAAAAGTGCCTGAGGGGGACACGCTGACCCAGAAAATCAGTGAAGTGCAAGATAGGGTTTCTACCA